CATGGATTAAGTAAGTAGCAATCCTGAATGCAACCGAATACCTCTCCTTTATGTAGCTGTTTGTTAGACTCTGAGTTAGCATCAGGAGATTTCTCCAAATTTTCACTCAGACTGGAGTTTACTGCAGGTAAGGTGCTGACTATTCATAAATATTCCTGACAGCCCCACTTGAAAGAGCTGAACAGCTTCTTTAATTAAGAGAAAATGATGTAATAAAACACACACACACACACACATTCACACAAACACCAGACGGCTGGGCCATCTGCAACAGCTGTGAGTCACTGATGGTGGCGGGTGGCCCACCTACACAGGTCTGCATTATAATTACATGCATACAGATACATTTAAAACACACATACCTCCTTTGACATGTACACAAAGGAGCAGCAGCTGGAAACTTTTTTTCCGTTTGTATTTTTAATTCTTCTTTAAAATATTCAGCAGCACTAACAATCACCTGGAGATGCTGAGAGATTTTGCTCCGTCATCCGACTTGATGCGTCCGAGAAAAGGTGCAATTAATTAATGCTTCGGATCTGCGTTCGTACTTTCTGTTTCCGGTTGTGCACCCATGTGTGTTTTAAAAGGACGGGGAGCATTAATGGAGGAAGAGGCAACTAGACTCCAGAGCTGTGGAGGGTTCATAGCTGAATTTAGAATTAGGAGGGAAGCAAAGCTTGAGAAAACGCGGCGAGGCGAGGAGGAAAATGGCAGGAACGAAAAAGGAAGGGAAAAAAGACAGCTTTTAATGTTTTACAGACAAATCTTCACCAATTTAAGCTTGTTTTATAGAGAAAAGTAAGGATCTTCTGGTCAATACTACAGCTGAACATATAAAAAGTATCACTGTATAAATGTATGGTTGATGTTACTTTATACATGAGTATCCAAGAGTCTGAAAAGCCTGACAAACAGATGACTCATCCATATTTTGAAACTGTTAGGACTGGTCGCGTTGTTCGACCCGTCAGTAGGTTTATGTAAGTTGGTTAGTGTGAGTTTGAATTGAATATTAAAAGTGTATCCTGAGTTCTTCATTGGACAGCTTTACAGTTTGACGGAGCACAACTTTGTTTTTAGTGTGTAATTCAGTCATAGTGTTGGTTATGAGATGTGATGGGACTCATTTGGCATTTCAGAAATGCTAATTTATACGTTTTCCTATTTCGTTGTGTCAAAATGTTTTGTAATTTTGACAAATTCAGGCGATCAGAGTACCCGGGTTTTATTTTAGCAACATTATCGACGTGAAGTTTGTCAGAATTTGTTCATTTATTCTTTGAACTTGTTTTGTTTAGTCTTGAAGTTATTTCTCCAGACATTTATTGGTGTTTTAAGTTCTGTCATTCTGATCGGCTGCTCTTGGCAGTTGGTGGTTACTATAGCAACCAGTAACTGACAGCCCCCTTCCCCCCCCCTTCTTTTCTGTTGCCGTCGGTAACCGTGGTGCAGAAGCTGCTGGACTGATTTTGTTAGACTGAATACAGCGAACCTGAATGTCGTGAAGTCAAACTGACTGCGTTTATTCCTTTTCTTCTCCTCCCACTCCCCTCTTCTCTCTCTTCCTCCTCCTCTCCTTCCAGTACAACTCCTCTCGTCCAAGGGAGGAGTGGGAGATGTGGCACCCGACGCTGATCGCCGAGGCTCTGTTCGCCATCGCCAACATCTTCAGCTCGCTCAGACTCATCTCCCTCTTCACAGCCAACTCCCACCTCGGCCCTCTGCAGATCTCTCTGGGGAGGATGCTGCTGGACATCCTCAAGTTTCTCTTCATTTACTGTCTGGTGAGGCATCATCAGGACTGCGCACATGGAACAGAAAGCTCATTAGGTGTTGCTTTTTTTAATGACTTCCTGCTAATCGCTGCTAACTTTCCGATTTCCATTCATATATCTCGGTTGTCGCTCTCACACCAGTTTAGCGGACCTAATAGGCTTCCAGTGTTTCCTGTTAACATTCAAACAACAGAAGAAAATGACGTTGCCTGGAAAATCAATCAGTTGAGTTTATTTGTACGGCACCTTTCAGCAACGAGGCAGTTCAAAATCATAAAAACCAGAGGTGGGTAAAGTACCTAAAAATTGTACTCAAGTAAAAGATATTTGGTAAAATTTCTACTCAAGTAACTGATCAAATTATCAAACATTTAATATTTAAAAATGACATAACCAAAACATAACGTTAAGTGGAAATTTTGGTATTTTAAGGATCATAATGACAACGATTCATATAAGTAGCAAAAAATAAAATCAGGCAAAATAAACTTTTTCCAAACCAGTTTCTTTCAATAAAAAAACTTGAACAAAATCAGCAGATGTGTGTCTGGTGAATTTTTGGTGAAAACATGTTTGTTTTTCATTCAGGGTAGAAAATCCAGAAGTTTTACTGAAGAGTAGAAATACTCTTCTGGAAGGTTGACACATTGTGCTAAGCGGTT